TAATCTTTTAGACGCTTTTGTTGTTACAAATGATCTGAGGTTCGAAAGAATATGATGTAGGTCAGTATCTGAATGTTTTGCTCTAAAATTTTTCTTTTTACCTGCACAATGATGTTCAAAACTATCAAATAAGCTTAAATTTTATCAGGTAGATCATTTTGTATAAAATGAAGCTCATTTGAAAGATTTTGAATAGAAAAATGAAAGTCTTGTTTCCTGGCTATCCTTTCGAGCTCCTGATATATCTAAGTAGGTCAATTTGTTCTAATTTCCTTGGACGAACACCTGGAGCTCCCAACTTGGTGTATATTGAATGAGATGTACACCTCAGTTTCAAACCAATGCTCGCAGTTCTAGAAGTAGGCCACAAACGCACACAAACTCAAGCAGACTGACACACACACACTCCTCGAGCTGTGGGAATACGGGACCTGGTCATCGCACAGATGATGCTCGGCGCGCTTGCTCTGAGCCAGGGCTGGACTGATGTGGGACCGGACAGAAGGCGAGGTGCCGAAATACCCTTATTGGGGAACGTAAACCTGGCACCCACGGGACGCGAGTTAATGAATAACTTGGACTATTTTTCAAAGCAAAATTATAGTCTAAATATTAGTCAAAAGATTGCTTCTGCAACTGCTAGGCTATCCCATTGAACAAATAAACTAGTCGTCTTTTTTCTTTTTTTCATGTACTTTAACTCTTTCCGGATCGACGTGAGTCCACTCCCCTTGCGGACGTATCGCCGTTATATTGGCTACGATAGGATGCCTCAGTATTGTTTTGTTTTAATATGATCCATCATTTATAATTACTTTTTGTTGTTATTGAAAACTTGGAAAGGATTTAGGAAACAAAGACATCTAGTTTTACTTTGTAAAAGTGGTGGTTTGGCAAAAAAATGAGTGAATTAGTTTTTGCGGTCTTGCATCAACAAAACGATGTAACCAGACTCAGTAGAAATATGATAACTCAAACAAAAATTGGAATATCGCTTTCAAATAAAAAGCTGCGCCTTCAGAAATTTATAGATTATGCTCTTGGCCTGTATATTGTAAGATAGCTATGTTGATTTGCTTTCCCATGTTTGGTGAATGTAATTTTTTCCGTCAAAATTCTAACCCTTGTATACTTATGTTCAAAATTAATCCTTGTTTCATGTTGGAATGTATTCCATATTCAGTTTCCTTCAATTTGATATATCTTATGTTACGTTTTGAATGATGGTTATGCTTATATGAAACTATTTTGTAAATCACCTGTGTAGCCAAATCGAGCCACAAGTTAATTACGTCTAGACCCCAAAAAACTACGTCCGGAAAGAGTTAATCGCTTTAATCAACTGAAGACTAACTTCTTACGGCCAGCATTCCCCACGGGGTGCCAGGATCACTCAGCGGTCAGAGTGCATGCTGCAGGAGGTCCTGGAAATGTGTGTTCTCACTGTGAATACTGAGGGGATGTGTTAATAGAGGTACGAAATTACTGCCCTATTTTTTATAACACACACAATCTTCCTCTATGAACAAGTGTTACGAAAATATGAATAAACACCTCTCATATGGTACGAGTGGTTGTAATGCCTATTCGATTGCTGCTTTAGATGTTATTGTTGTTACAAACGATCTGGGGCTCGAAAGAAAAAAATAAAGATCAGTTTCCAAACATTTTAGCTCTCAAATTTTTCTTTCAAACTACACAGTGATTTTAAAAACCATCAAATAGGATTACTTAAATCAGGTAATATAGTTTTTTTTGGGTAAAATACAGCTCATTTGAAAGATCTTGGATTGAAATGGAAGTCTTGTTTCCTGGTTATCTCAAAGAAAAAGAAAACTGCATCTAATTTGTCCAGATAGTTTTTATTTCATCAATATTTTGAAATGGCAATGTCTGGGGGTTACACAATTTTTTTGTGCACCCAATTTATAATAAAATCATCTATCACAATGCAGGGGTGACTGACTTAATCCGTTATAGCTAAAAAAGTATCTCACATAACTTCACCAAATTTTTAACGAAACAAAACAAGTGGGTCATCTGTTAGCTCGCCACTTCCCGTAGCTTGCAACCGAAAAACACAGGAGATATCAATCAATAAAGCGAATCCCGTAAGTACACAGGATTATTAGGCTCAAGTGAGTTAAAAAGGTTCAAACGAGACGTAGAATGTCTTTGGGTTCACAAGTAAAATACAGTCAAACCTGCCATGACGACCACCTGGCAATACAGCTACCTGAGTACATTTTTACTTTCACTCCCACACACAGAGGCACTGCTATTGGGGGGTCAAATGGCCATATTTTTCGCTGCAGATCACACATAAGGCTACTTAAATTGTCGCAAATCATTTATTTTCAAGAAAATGTCAAGCTTAATATCAAAACATCGAATTATGCTTACCCCCCCCCCCCCCCCCCCCGAAACCCCTGGATTAGTCTAAAGCATGGAAGTTTTTAGGCAATTCGAGTAAACGTATATAATATATGATTTAGTTTGAATAAAAACCATTGAATATTTCAAGAACTATTAATTTGCGTCCGATATGAAGTCAATATTGATGTAAAACGAGGCCACTTATTTTAATTAACCAACAACCCCGAAAACATGTCAAAGATTGCCATGCAAATCTCTTATCACCTAGCTCTTTGTCATGAATTATGTATCAGCCCCTGACGCTATCATGGTCTAATTGTCAGGATGAACAATCGATTCTCCTGCCATTATTGTTAGTCCCTCCAATGAATGAGCTGATTATGTTGCCATCTGTCCGATATCTGCCTTCAGATCTCGTTCCCAGATGGATCTGGTTCTTCCCTTTCTCTTGGTTCTTCCATTTTAGGCTTTGTCTTGTCACATTGCTTCCTGAAGAGTGTGCTTGATCATCTGTCCTTTTCTTTATCTCATGGGTCATTTGGTTGTTGTTTGGTTCTCCTCTTCTATAATGCCTAATTTCTGATGGCATCAGGCCAATGGATTTTCATGATCGTTCACAGGCAACCATTGATGAAGGACTGTAATTTGTTTTCTGTAGAATCTGCTTTGTTAGTTTCTATATTTCCGATCTGTACAACAATATACAATATATGTGTGTGTGGCATTGTGGTGAAATCAGGGGCTTTGCAAAATAATGAAGTCAAGGTCATGGAAATGTTTCCGCAGCAATTTCGGAAAAACATATAAATTTTTTTTGGCTCAACACCTTTTATGTCCATTAAAAAGACACATTTAATTTCTGTGTGGATTTTACTGAAAAACGTGGATCAAAGCAACAAGAAATGTAAATGTGCAGTTTCAAAGGACACTCAAGCTTTGCGAATCATCAACTGTGGTGGCCATTTTCATGCTAATTTTACCTCTTGCACCTGGCGACCTTTACCTCCTTCAATCACAAAGATCTTGATTTTTCTATTCAAGATAGATGGGGGTGTTGTTTTTTCTATCAAAAGAAAGACAAGCTTTAAGATAATACCAATAACTCCATATGCCCAAAAATTAACAAGTGCCTGATTTCATCGTGTTGTGACACATATTTGTATTAAAAATCCTGATCATTTTACTTGTCCTGATGCTTCCTGATTTCCAAATAGACTGCAGTTGTTGTAGAACTTCCCTTGCTTTTCCATGTTTATTTATATGAATGGTATTTACGTATAAAAGTGTTCTACTTCATTTCTGAGAAATGTCTTAGAATGGCATTGATGGCTTTGACATATGAAGGAGCATAGTGTTTTGCTCTATCTTAGATAAGGAGTCATAAAATGTTAGGTGTTTAAAGGTCTGGGTGTATTATGCTGTATGGTTCTGGCCTAACTGAGGAGAAAAGTGTTTGTTCTAATGAAATGTTTGTCTTGCATCCATATTGTTGTTTACAAGGATTATGAATGCTGCTTGTTAGTCTATGTAATTCACAAAGTAACCTCTTTATGCATGCTTATACTTACTTTTTCAAAAAAATTTTTTAAAAGTTATTAATATACAGTCGAACCTGCCCTGACGGCCACCTCTGCTGTACAAATGGTCACTTTCCATTTCCCCCCTTGCGTTTTTTCTATATAATTTAACTGTGTAAGACGGGCACCTGTCCAACGCGGCCGCGGCCACCATATTTTAACACACAGCCTCTACCGCACTGAGCAAAAACACCTGTCTTAGACGGCCACCTTAGTGACTCCATTACGTTTTGTCATAAATTGTACACTGGCCCCGGGCGTTGTGGGTGAGCCGTCATAATCCAATCACTTGTTGTTGTTAGGTAGTCCCTCCAACCGATCATGTTGCATAGGCCCCTCCGACTGTTGACCAATAGCTACCAATTTTCAGCTGCTGGTGAGGTAAGCGTGTGATCCCTCGTAACCCATAAGCCCCGCCCAGAACTCATTTCTCAAATCGTAAGTGAGATGAGTGGTCACTGTTTACCCAGTCTGTAACAAAGTAACAGAGGACGTCAACATGAACTTGCGACTGAAGCGTCGCTCATTTTCTGAGTGGTGGCAACCCACGTCTTTGTTTTAACATGGCACTCGGTCTTCCTCGTCCGATACATTTCGTTTTATTGTCACCCTTGCGCAAAATCAGCAAAAAAATAAAAATAACAAACAAAATACAAACCAACAACAACAAAAACAACAACATCAAAAACAACAACAACGCAGCTACTTTCGATTGGGACTTCAGATGGGACTGGTTTATTTTCTTCATCTTGATCAGTCCTGCTTAAGACGGCCACCTGTCTTATACGGTCACTTTTCTCCTTGACAATGGGTGGCCGTCTTACACAGGTTTGACTGTATATCATTTATTATTTATGTTGTTTTCATGGAAGTCTGATCTGTAAAATGTGTTGCTTTATGTGATGTGGGCCACTGGCCTTAAACACTGAATAAAATACTGACCTACCTCTACACTTAATTACATAAAGATTGCCTGACAAGCATTCTCTTAAGATTTATGGAGATCTTTTCCTTTTAACATTTTCACCTCTTTCCTAATGTCCACAGAAAAGGAAGAGAGTAGACAATGAGAATGGTGATGCAGGAGAGCACAATGAACTGCTGGCTCTTGCTGCAAATCCTGAGGAAGGTATGCATTCATTTGTTTCCATTGTTGAGAAAATGGCCTTGTCTCTTATGTCTTTGGCATGTTCACAGCCTATATTTTTCTGAGGATGTCTCTTGAAAGGAGGTACCTAGGTTTTATTGCATTTCTAAGCTTGAGAAATTTGTTTCAATTTCAATGACATAAATCACCCCATGGTGCTGTGAACCGTGAGTTATGATATTCGAAATTTTGATAATTTGAACTGATTTAATCATATAAACAACATTAGTCATTCATTTGATCCATCTCTCTATCATTTGTCTGTGGCTTTTTTGTTCTTCCTCTGAGAGTGACTGTCATGCATTGATTGTTATTCTACAAATGCACAAACTTCTAATTGATAGCCAGATGACGAAGTAATACAAAGCTCTTATGATTTACTGTCATTGTAATTTTCTTTTGTAGCAACGTTTATTTAAGTTTTTCTGAAATTAGCCAAGAATTAGATAGTTTCTTGAAAGATGAAATGAATACTTTTTCCTTTTTTTTCTCCAGCCATGAACTTGGTTGTATTTCTCCGGGATAGGACAGGCGTCCATTTCTCCCTGGAAGAGGCTTATCTGACCCGGACAGACAGTCTGCTTCATTTGGTCATCCATGAGCAAGGTCTGCCTGCAGAGGCACACAATGTCTTCAGCCTTTGGTTGGTTTCACCTTTGATGGGTAAGTTGACTTCTCATATGATAGAAGTTCATCATGTCGTTGAGCGTTTACTTATTTGGTAATCAGTTTTTGAAAGGCAAACTGTGAAAAATAAGATATAGTAGGAGAGAGCTGATCTGACTATCAAGCTGCAGAGCATTACAACTGACCTGGTAAAAACAGCATGGGATGCTCAAATCGTATTTGTCAAAGTTGGACTATCTCATCATACACCACAAAGAAAAAGAAACTGGGTAAACTCAAAGGTAATGCAGCTGCTAATTTGTTCTTTTAAGAGGAACCAGATGACTACCCTGGGGTTAACTCTTTTGGCACCAGATAGTTGCACCGTAAAAATTCCCCTGCGAGGTGGAGTAATTTTCTATTAATATGTCATAAAATTGCTGGTCATGTTACAAAAACAGATGAAATCAAAAGAAAAGCTAACACATACAAAACTATGTCGTGCACCAAAATGTTTATAAGGTTTCCAAAACAATTTAATTACAACAAATAATTACATCTGATCTTTCTTCATTTTGTCTATCTGTACTAGTTTTCATACTGCAACAGTTAAAGGCTTTGTGGAAATTTGTAGATTGGTGGTTGCAATATCTCCCTGATAATTAAAATATTTTCTTTAACTCTTTGATTCTGGATCACCACTCATGCACAAGTGGTGCTTTTAATTCCTCATTTCAACTGATTGCCACTTAAGTGAAGTTTAACTCTTTATGCCCAGAATTTTTTTCCTCTGACACTCTCAAAACGCCAGAATTAGTTTTCTCAGGAGCGCTTATTACGATAGGGTACCCTATTTAAATTGATTCTGTTGTACGAAAGTACATACAATTGATGCTACTGGAAAGGTAATTGAATAAGCTATCACAATAGATGGGTGGCTTGGTTCTTTGTGTTGTTATGTAAGAGCTATTATGCAATATAGGGGGGGGGGATAATAAGTGAAAAATAATGAAATTGGCTACTTTGACGAGTTTTATTCAACTTGCTCTCACCATTACTCATGAAATACAGACTGATACTCAACAGAAATGTTTATATGTAAATCACCTTTGTAATAATACCACATAGGTTGTTCAATAATTTGGAGTAATTGAAATACACGAAATGCTTGCCAGATCTCTACTGATATTAGACCTAGACCTAGAATAAGCTCTTAATTCTATCCTTATAATAAATCTAGTACTATCAGTTGTACCAGCTTTGTTGACATTGCTAGTACTAGATCTAGACCATGGGGGCAGGTTATAACTAATGGATGATCCACCTACTACCCCTGATAGAGTAGGACGCCCACTCAAAGTCAAGTCAGTTTCATCCCTGTTGTCAGTTTCGTCTCTGCTATTCCCACCAGTTGGAAATTACTATTGAAATCTATTGAAATCAAAGTCAGTGTGGCTGACAATGTAATCATAATAAAAAAAATCTTATATTAGTCAAGTCGACCAGCAAAAAGCTTTATGGGGCTTTCGTTTTGCATAATCCGTTGCACCAAGCCGTTGTTGCCATTGTAAACAAACGGGTTTGCTTTATTTCGAGCGACACTTCAGACTAAAGAAACCTCACAAATGCTCTTTAAAAAGCCAACTAATAACGAAACTAGCAGTGAAGCTTCCGGTCTTGACACAAATGCATTCGGAAGTCACAAAATATTGCCGAAAATAGCAGAGGGAACCGTTTAATAAAACCATATGTGAAATGACGACTGAGTCATTCCTCCGCAGAAACCGCATTCGGCCGGTGACAGCTGAGTCGTCGCTCCGGGCGGAATGAGTTAAGGGGTCCCAATTTCATCAACCCCGAGATCTATACCTGATCCTGTGCTACATGTACTACCTATTTTAATCCATTGTGATTCTCTGTCCAATTACAAAGGGTTTGAATGCTCACACAAACAAATCCATCAACATTTACTCAATTGTAGTGGTTTTAAGGTATCATCCTCAAATTAGGAGTGTAAAATTGTGGAATCTCTCACATACTGAAAGGGCTGTTAGCCACAAGGACTTGAGGGTGTCAGTTTTTTCTGTCTTGTCTTGTTTAACAAAGTAGTACTCATTTATTTAAATATTTGTTTCTCATTAATATGTTCTATATTTTGCCTTTTTTGTTTTCTCCCGTGAAGATATCCGCCTAAAAAAGCAGCATAACCCGTTTGATGTGGTGCAGAAATGGGATGAGCTTTGTGCTCGCTACACTGATGCTACAAATGATGAAATTCATGAAAGTAAGTCATTTCATTGTATCTTGCTCTCTTTTGCTGTGCATTTTTCTTATCTTTTTCCTAGTTCTTGTGTATCAGAAATGCGAGGTGCTGTTGAGGAATTCTGTATGTATTCTTCTCCCTCATCTCCATCTTGTCTTTATCTTTATCTTGTCTTTAATTTGGATAGCTGATCTGAAGCCATAGTTATGATAGTCTTAAATCTGAAAGAAAGTTTGAAATTTGTGACTTCCCGCTGTCTCCCACTCCTGTTTTTCCCATTGTGCCGTGCTGAATTTGATAAAGTCCATTTTGGGTATAAATTGGGTCTTGTTGGCACTGATTTTAAAAACCCCTTATACTGCTCTTTATGAAAGAAATTCTGCATATGAGCTGTATTTGCATTTAAAGATATGAAAAGAAGATTTATGTACTTTAGTATTCTACAAGTGTATTTAGTTGACGTTGTAATGTGCACGAATTTTTCTGCAGAAACATCTTTTTGAGATAGATTCAAGGATGAACATAAAAAAGATCACTAACATTTTTTTAGAACATTAATAACTCTGTTTATGTTGTTGTAGTTTTCATAATTATAGACACAGTTGTCCAGGAAACTTCGGCTAGAGCAGCTGAAAAGCTTCCTGTGATAGAATACTTTTGCACTGTGCATAGAAATGGGTACAGCTGTGGAGCCACCATGTTTGCTCCTGGTTCTTTCTTCTGTCTCAAGAAGCTTTATTTAAAACAAGTTTATACCTTTTTCTGACTTTTCTTGTCAAAAAGAAATTTAAAAATTCTTTCAAAATTGATATTTTTTCACATACATTCATTGGCATTTCTCTACTGCATTTTTTGTTTGAGAAAAAAAGATAAAAATATATTCTAGAAAAAAGACTCCCTTTGTGGATACGATAGTAAAACACGACGTACGGATAGGGTTAAAAATCTCTTTGCAGGTTGTAGCGTGTATTGAAAGTTGTTGCTTCTTTTCTATCTTTATAAATGGATGGTTGGAGGGGTCCACAAGTGGGTCGTACTTCTTTCCTTTCCCTTTGTTCTTGCCGTCCGACTGTCTTGCTTTTTTTTCTGCACTGAATGACTGTTATTGTTTCATTGTGCTTCTGTTTTATCAAACAACTGATCATTCTCTTTATAAAGTTATTTGTGTACATTTAATATGAAAATGACTCTCAATGTTTTGTTATAGGTGAGCCAGTGTTGATGGTTCAGAGAGACGTTTTCTTCCGCAAAGAGCAAGAGCAGCATGTAAGTGTGGACTTTTTTGTTGTTGAATAAATTGCATGAAGAGCTTTTTCTTCCATTGTAACAAGAATTTGAAATTCTGTCTCCTCCCCCCCCCCCCCCCCCCCATGTGTATCATAACTTCATAGAGGGAGTACAAGAAAAGTCTAAAGACACATTTGCTCAACACTCTCCTCTGCCAATAAATTTTGTATGTGAGAATGTGTGCGGGTTTTGGAGTTGTGTGTGTGGGTGCATGTGCGTGCAGGTGCATGTGTATGTACATGTATATGCACATGCTTGTGTGTGTGTGTATGTGTGTGTGTGTTGTTAAATGGTCTCACATTGGGCATTTTCTGTCCTTAGTTAAATTAAATTCGTCAGTCGAGTGATGATTCTGTAATGTACAGTGCTCACAGCTTTCAAACTCAAACTCAAAGTGTCTTATCAACTTCTCCATTTGGGGCATATAGGCGATAGAATCAAGGGTAGTTTGTTTGCTTTGCAGATTCATAAGGAATAGATATGTGTCTAGTCAGCTTCAGCTTCTCTGAAGGGACATGTATACGACTGGGTGAAAGTAAAGTATAATCCCTCTTGTCTTTACGCATTACGAAGATCATAACCAGCTGTTTCCTGTTCCTGTAAGACGTTGCATCGACTCCAGTGTTATCCATAGACAGCAAAAGATTTTGTCAGTATGTTAGTGTTTTAGAGCCAGTAACATGACAGCTTGCACTGTATGCTTCCCAAGAAGTTGAGATTGTTTCAGAATGCGATCAGGTCTGCTGAGGTAATAATATTGATTGTAAAGCACATAGAGCTTGCTGTGAAGTGGGAATTTGTGCTATCCAATTGCGGTCCATTATTATTATTATTAATGTTATTATTATTACTATTATTATCATAATTATACTCAAGATGACTCTGGGTTTGTGCACTTGGTTAAGCACATTAGAAATTTGGGAGGGGAGAATTTTACTTTTACTGATGACTTGTTCAAGGGTGGTATGTTTTGTAATGCAGATCCAGAACGAGCAGATCCTGTGCCTGCTGTACCAAGAGGCCAAGTACAATGTGGTGGAGGGTCGCTACGTGCTGCACTCGGAGGACTACCACTACTTGGCGGGCATCCAGGCTCTCATTCACCTGGGATCCTTCGACCCACAGCAGCACATACTGGCTGATTACAGGTGAAGGAGATAGCTTCATTGAGCGTAATATTTCAGTGAAGGCGATGCTTCTGTGTTCGCCTTGTCGGTCAAACATATTTAGCTTTATCCAAAGGTAGACAGAGAGTTAAGTTAGTGGTGCATTTTATTAGTGGGTTGTTGGCGGGTCCTCTGGTGTGGTTTGCTCTTCTTTCCTATCAAGCTACTATTGTCTTTATGTGTTTATCTCTCCTCGTTTTTTAATTTCTTCTTCCTCGTTCTCGATGACAGCAACCAGACAGTCAGTCCGATGTCGCGTACAAACTGTGTAGTTCGGTTCAACTCTGAGAGACTGCCATAGAGCTTTCTCTCAAGGGGAGCCACATTCTGCCATGTCTGTGCGCGAAGGGTGGAGTAGCGCGGGCAGTGCTGAAGGATATGGTTGGCATCCTCTTGGTCGTGTCCACATTCACAGATCGGGGTCTCTCCCATTTTTAATTTGGTGTGCATATGGTGTGTGAGTCTGTTGTGGCCTGGTCTGCTCTATTTAGTATGTAGTAGGGGTCATGTCTGTTGTGCTTAGGGTGGGACCTTTTCCATCTGTTTCTTAAAGCAGTTTTTATTAGTATTTTTTACTCTGAGAGATCCATGCCATCTTCAATCTGGGTCATTTTGGCTCCTTCTTTGGCTAAGTCATCTGCTCTTTCATTTCCATGAATGCCACAGTGACCTGGTATCCACTGCAGAGTTGAGTTGGCTTGGGAGTTTAGATCACATAGGAGTGAAAGGAGTTGTCGTTCTTGAGCTGTTTGTGGCTTTTGGAGAGCTTGTAGGACAGATTTAGCATCTGTGAGGATGACAGTGTTGGCTTTAGATTTTTGGTGATTCAAGAGAATGGTGGCTGCTGTTTCGAGTGCTGATGTTTTTGCTTTGTAATTGGATCCTTTTTTTTATGTTTGTTACTCTCTTGTAACACCTCTTAATCTTCGGCACTTATATGACTTTATTGTGTTGCAAGCGCCGTAAAACCCTTACTAAAACTAAAAGCTTTTTATTATATAGATTGTATATGTTTTGGCTTCATGGTGAAATAAGGCACTCGTTAAAATAATGAAATAGAAGAAATCAACATGTTTCTGCCTGTTGGGCAATTTTTATTGATTTTTTTAATTGACTTGGCACCTTTATGTCCATTTAGAGACTCATATCTGTGTGCAGTTTGCTGAAAAATATTGATCAAAGGCCCCAAAAAATGTGAATTTGTAGTTTCCAAGGCTTTGATATGTACAGAAGTTTGGTACCCATTTTCTCGCAAATTTTTTCTGTGACTCCAGGCAACCCCCACCTTCTTCAATAAAAAGAAACATCTCCGCTTCTATTTAAGTTTAAGATAAATGAGTATTTTTTCATCAAAAGACAAATGAACAAGCCTTAAAACGATACCAATAACTTCATATTCCCAAAAATTGACGAGGTCATGACACATGTGCTTTTTTTATATGAACATATTTTACATGTATACTTTCTAACACATGTTTTATGTATGCTTTTCACAGTACGTTTTATGAATGCTATTGCCTTTTTATTTCTTCCTCAGAGCTAACCTGGTCCAGTTTTACCCAGAGCACATGTTTTGCCAGAGCCGCTTTGCCATGTTTTCACTAAATTCGACCCAGCCTCCTCCGTGTGAAGAGTTGTTTATGGACGCTCATCGCAAAGCCAGTGAAGAATTGCAGCACATCGCCTCCTCTGACAGCGTGGCTCAGCTCTACAGGAAATATTTGGAACTTCTGTGGACTTATCCTTTTTATGGGTATGTCCGCTATTTGGTAAAGGTCCAGGTGAAGCCTCTTTTCGTTAAAAAAAGTTAACATTGTGTTTTGGGCATGATGTCATAGCTGCCCCCAGGTTGGCCTTCCCCCATCATAGAGAGTGGAGACCCCAGATGTACGAAGTAGATCAAATATGTTTTCTGTAAATGGATTAAAAAAAGAAATCTTCATTTAACTCGAAACAGGAAAAAACGAATATGTCCCGCTTTGTTGTAAAACTTGATATAAATTTATATTTTATATGATTGCTATTACGTCATTTTAAAGCACATTTTCTTGCCCATGTGGTCAATCAATATTTGTGGGTGGATGGAGGACGCCTCTGAAAGGTCTCACTTCATTTCTCTCCCTCTGTGGTTTCTGTCTGTCTGCCTTGCTTTTCCCCAGTACAAACTGATCGTTATTGTGTCGATGTCCTTCTTTTTACAGCATCAATTTTTGTCTTGTGTATGTCTATAGAGGGGCTTTCTTCAGCGGAATTGTGGAGGCCAAGATGCCAAAATGGCGCCGAGTCCTCCTGCCCAGTCAGGACTTCAGGGTCAATATCTGTATCAACACCGATGGCATCACACTTTTCAACAAGGAAAAATGTGTAAGAAAATGTCTTGTGGGCTGTACTTATGTTTTTAAGCATTTTATTGTGTTTTGACCTAACTAATGGTGTTTTTCCTTTTTGCCGTGTTGCAGAAGTGGGCTCATGCGACAAGAGTCATTTTGATGGAAATGAAATGGAAAAATGAAATCAAGGCCTCCAATTTTAAACCTTCTGTTGACTTCTTCAAGTCTAATAAGAGACCATAACTCAAACCCTGTCCACAGTAGCTGCTTATGTATAATGATCCCTTTTCTCTGTGATCTTTAATGACCTTTGTAGACAGGTTTGAAGGTACTGTATTTCTCACAATCTCTGTCTCTTCTTATTCTGGGGTTGTTGTCAAGTTGTGAGAATCGGTTCTTATGTACTGTATCTTTCTCTTTGGTATTCATTTCACTTATTTTTTTGTTCTCTGCAGGCAGAGGTCTCCACTTGAAATTTTTACTTGTTTACACTCCATTACTGCTGTTTCCGTTCGTCTGTCTTGTTCTTTCTCAGCACTATATGACCATTTTTGTGTTGATGTGATTCTTTTTATTCAAACAAACGCAAAACTCTTTGTTCTTGGCTGGGTGTTTGACAGCACCACTGGTAGGCTTTACTCCTTTATAACTCTCCTTCTGCCTTTTTCTATCCTTCTGCCGTGCTCTTTCTCAGCCCTAAATAACCATTTTCGTGTTGCTGATGTTATAATCTAAGTGGGTAACTAACTGATTTTCTATAATTTTTTCAACACTCAGAAAAAACTCTTCTGGCTTTAAATGAGATAGAACATGAAAGTTAGGCTGCCTTTTTGTTTATACTATCTATTGTGCACGTTGACTCCTGCTTTTTATTGAGGACCTGCTTATCAATCTTGATAAATCTTTGAGAATCAAAACTGAGTTGACCCATCACTTTCAGTCACACGGTTAGAACACGGCTCCTGCAATGTTGATGTACTTTTATTTTATTAAACTAAACCAGTGACTTGTGTGATATCTGTGAGTGGTTGGTGAATGTTATGCTGTGGTTTACTCCTTCTTTCCTATCAAACATCTATCATACTTATAATTCCTCTTTCTTTTTGGTTTTATTTTTTACTCTCATGTAACACAAGACCTCTAATCTTATGTGGCAGAATTGTGTTGCAAGTGTTGTAAAACTCTTACTAAGACAAACTTTTTCAATATCTCCCCAGGAGTTTTTGCTCTATGTCCCGTACTCCCAGCTGTCGTGGCGGTACCAGGACTTGGAGTGGGATGGTGACAGCGACCCGCCCCCCACCCTCATGCTGCAGTTCCTGTGCAACGAACAGTGTGACGAGGCACCCGGGCAGCCGGTGACGAAACTGTTGCAGATCTACTCGCGAGAGGTGAGACTCTAGGCATTGAGGGTTTGTTTAGCGTGGGTAGAAATAAGGGTAGGAATTAAGTGGGATGGATAGTTATTCAATTGGCATGTGTGCGTGTGTGTGTGCGTGCATGCCTTTTAGAGGGTGCCAGTTTTTTTTTAACCTTTTCATTTAGGTTGAGATTCCAGCTGAAGGAGGTTTTTATGCCTCATCTACTTATCTTATTTCCCCTCCCTTTTTTATGATACTCTTTAATACTTTTAATCTTTGGCACTTATATGACCTAGTTGTGTTGCAAATGCTGTAAAACTCTTACTAAAACAAGAATATGATATCAAATACAGTATGTATGTATTTGACACACTACAATGACAAGGGTACTTTGCAGTCTGGGCACCAAAAAAATATATGTTTCTGTTGTCGTAAAATTGCTGCTACTCTTCTCCTATTTGTCTGATTTTGACTTCCTGTTTATCTTTCATAAGTAAATTGACCCCACTATCAAAAAGGCGAATCTATACTACCTCTTTGGCAGTATCAACGTGAGATCAAAATTCCAAAAGTCAAAAACTGAGTAGGGTTTGTAGCTTAAGTTGTCCATCCTGGCTCACAGTAATTTTTTTGCCACAACAGTTGCTGTATATAAGTGGTCAGTAATTGTGAGGTTGTGGGTCGGGGGTTTCGAGCAGCAGGCTAGAAGTTGTGTCCTTGGGAAAGGCACTTTACAGAAGTTTTCCTCACTTCACCCAGGTGGGAATGGGTGCCTGATCATAGACAGCGAAAGATCTTGTCAGTATATGAAGGCTTTAGCACCTATAAATGGCAGGTTGCACTCTATGCTCCCCAGGAAGTTGAGATTGTTTCAGTTTCAGAATGCTATCAGGTCTGCTGGGGTAATATTGTAAATTATAAAGCGCATAGGGCTTGCTGTTGAGTGGGAATTTGTGCTATACAAATGCTATCTATTATTATTGTTATTATTAATATATCGTGGTAGAAGTTTCATGTCTCCATTAGGGGGCTCTCGTGGCCTGGAGGTTAAGGTGTTGGCCTCTCATTCAAAGGTCCCGGGTTTGAATCCAGGTAGCGACCGAAAAATTTTCTTCTCTAAAATTGTCTCCTTTCACCTCTTTTCCTGCTCTCTAGTAATGTTCAGTTGTCTGCTTTCATTTCCACTTTCTGCCCCCCCCCCCCACCTCCTTTGCCCTCTCCTCTGGGCTCTTGACTCTTTCTGCAGCCTTTCTACTGCTACTCCTTGGCTCCTCCTTACTGCTGTCTTTCTGCCACACCCCTGATCTTCTGGTAGGAAAGATCTACACGTAGCCTTCTCGGACTAGGGCGAAAAATCTCGGAGGGCCAGTGTGCAAGTTGCGCACGTTAAAGATCCCTTGGTGATCTAAAATCAATAAGAGTAGGCTTCGGCCGCCACCCGGGCAAATTTCAAAATTTCCTACCAACTGAAAATATTAGGTGTGTCCCGCGCGCTCATATGACCTTATGCAGTTGCGAGCGCCGTAAAATACTTTACAAAAACAAAACAAAAACAAATGTCTCCATTGGCACAATATAGATAATTTAGGAGGCGGACTGCTTTGACCCTGCCTGTCAGGACCAACCTGGGCTGAGGGGGATACAATGTCCCATTTGAAAGATAGATAAAAAAAAATCCCAAAAGAAAACGTCTTTCTTTAAGATATATTCCCTTACTGTAAATCCAAGAATACTCAACCCCCCGGTGCAGTGCCACTGACTGTAGTGTCTTTAGGCCATTCCCAAAGGGGGGACATTTTTCGTTCAAGTGCAGTAGAAAAGGGGCTGATTCATGTCACGCTCATAACTGTGCCTGATCTACAACAGGGAACTGCTGCTTTTTCTTTCCTAATCCTTACTATTGTCATTTTCCTCTACTTCTTTTGTATGTTTGTCACTCTCTTGCGACCTGTTATTTCCGGGGTGCCTTGATAGTTGAAGCAGACCTTGTGCTGTTGAAGCTAGAGAGGTGGGCAGAGTGGGTCTGATTCCCTGTAAAGACTTCTCTGTTGACACCCACCCCTTGGCGCTCATATGACCTTGTGCAGTTGCGAGTGCCGTAAAACCCTCTACTATAATCATTTTAAAAAACAAGAATACTCAGAATCACCAAAATGTGACGGCCGTTTTTTTGCGTTTTTTCCCTTTTAAATTTATTCTTCGTCCGTAAAAACCTGCTGCTCACTTGTGTTGGGTAGATGCAATACTCTGCGTGTGAATCAGAACAGTAATTCTAAAGATCTACTAAGTGCCACTTCCTTTGTTTCTTTTTCAGGCAAAGTTAATGGATGCCCTGATAGAGACGTGCGTGAAGCGCAAGCTGGAGCTTCAGAAGCTTGGGGGAGACACAGATCTAGTTGATGGAGGACTCTCTGGTAAGACTTTTGTCTATGTCTGTTTTGACTGTCAGAGCATTCTGCAGTAAAAATATTGTCTGTATCTGTTTTGACTGTCTGAGTATTCCTTGGTAAGACATGTCTGTGTCTGTTTTTGATCCTCAGAGCATTCTGTTGTCAGACTTTTGTCTGTGTCTGTCACTTGATGGTAAGACTTAAGTCTGTGTCTGTTTTTCACTTTCGGAATCCTCAGTGGTAACACTTCTGTCTGTGTCTGTCATTTGCTAGTGAGACTTTTTTCGGTTTTTCACTCTCAAGATACTCTCTGGTAAGACTTTTGTGAGCGTTTGTCACTCTGGCGCAAGATTTGTTTCTGTGTTTGTTTCACTCTGAGAATGCTTTCTTGTAAGATTTTTGTCTAGGTCTGTTTTGTCCCTCCTGGTATTCTCAGATGTTGGTTGTTGGAGGGCGCCACTGGTACGTCTTGCTTGGTTTTTTTTTCCGTCTGTTCCTGTGTATGTTATGTTATTTTTGTTTTTACTCTAAATGATTGTGTCTCTGTGCTTCTCTCTGCTCAAACTCAAACACTATGTGGTAAGACTTTTCTTTTTGTCTTTTTTGAGCTGCAGAATCGTCTGTGAAATTGTGTTCTTGGGTCCAGCAAAAATTTGTTTTTTGTATCTTTTTCTCGCCTTCATAGATGTTCTTTGTTTTTCAAAGTTCTTAATGTCATAGATTTTCTGTGTTTTCATGTTCTGGACCCCCAAGAGGTTTAACATTTTTATGGCGCTCATATGACCTTATGCAGTTTCGAGCGCCGTAAAACCTTTTACTAAAACTGACTCTAGAAAAGTTTAGTGTGTTTGAGGATGGTTGGAGGGTGCCTCTGGTAGGTTTCACTTTTTTTTTTCCTATCAATCTGTTGTGCTTGTTTCCCTGCAAAAAATGACTGTTATTGTGTGTATGTGCTTCTCTTTAACTCAAAGCTCAATATGTCTATTTTCATTCTATTGAAGTTAGGCTCCTTGTGTACTCTTCTGATGCAAGACAGTTGTCTGCTACAATATTGTGGGGTATGGATGGTTGGCGGGTGCTCTAGTGTGGTTTGCTCCTTCTTTTCTGTCAAACATCTATCGTCCTTATTTCTCCTCCTTTTTTATGTTTGTTACTCTCTTGGTAACATCTCTAATCTTCTGGCGCTCATATGACCTTATGCAGTTGCGAGCGCTGTAAAACCTCTACTAAAACCCCAAAAAAACATTTATCGCCCTTATCTCTCCTCCCTTTTTGTGTTTGTTACTCCCTTGGTAAAATCTCTAAACTTTGACCTTTATATGACCTAATGGTATTGCAAGTGCAGTAAACTCTTACTAAAACAAACTTGCAATCACTGCTTGCTCATACAATTTACTATTCCCTGACTGACATCTGTTTATTTTTATTTTTTTAAATAGCTGACCCGAATTATGAATGTGTGGAACACATTTGTCAATCCCTGACTTGTTTGAGTTATCTGTGCTCGACTGTATGTGCCAGTGAGTGATACCATATGTGGTGCAGCAGTCACGTTTTTGAAAAATATTTTCCACACTTTGTCAGATAGTTGAATTTCGATATGGGGAAATTGCAACTTGGTACAGACGCAAAATCTTTTGGCTGAACAGAGTAGTCTGTGTTGTTTGGTGATTTTTTTCTTTTGTGATACTCTCTGTCAGATATACGAATGTATATATGGGGGAAATTTGTGATTTGGTACAATGTGTTATATTCTATGTATAATGTGTTTTATGTTCTATGTACTTGTTTCTTTTTCTGAGATTATTTTCCATTACTTTTGCAGATGCTGCGGAGAAAAAAATCCTTAACAAGCTGGAGAAATTATGTCTCGAAACTTACACAGTTGAAGGTGAGTGGAATATCGCTTTGCGCAGTTTTAACTGATGAGCAAATTGTTAGTCCAGTGTAATATTTATGCCATATGGTTTTGTTTAAATGGAGATTTGTTTTTCAGTTTCTTTACTTATGGCAGAACTCACTGATGTCATAGTGTTTGAAATAAATGATGCTTTTTAATAGTTTTTATCATTGACATATACCACAAGTAGAAAAATAAAAGAGAAAATTTAGGTTGGTTTTTAATTATATGTGTGTCAGAAAGTTTGATACTATCTGAGAGCAAACAATTGAGGCAATTGCTTCCGTCTCTTCCTTTGTGAAAACTTGCTTGCATGAAGATCGTCCAATACCCCGCGGGGGGTACTACTGACTAAAGTGTCTTTAGGCCGTTCCCAAAGGGGGGATATTAAAGTGTTCTTATGCACAGTAGAATTGTAAAATGGGCTGATTCATCAATGTCATGCTCATAACTGTGCCTGAACTGCAACAGGGAATTGCTGCTTTTTCTTTCTTAATCCTTACTATGGTAATTTTTCCTCTACTTCTTCTGTATGTTTGTCTCACTCTTGTGACCCGCTATTTCCGGGGTGCCTTGAAAGTTGAAGCAGACTTTGTGCTGTTGAAGCTAGAGAGGTGAGCAGAGGAAGTCTGATTCCCTGTAAGGACTTCTCTATTGACATCCACCCCTTGGCACTCATATGACCTTCTGCAGTTGCGAGCGCCGTAAAACCTCTACTAAAACAAACAAAACAAAACAAAACCCAGAACTCAGCAGGTTCAGGGTAGTTTTTTCCCCTTAAGCGGAATTTGTCATTTTTGTTCTCGTGCCCATGACTCCTTCTCGTTAACCATCAAGGATTTTTCTTTCCCTGTACAGGTGATCAGTTGGAGAGCTCTTAGGCAGCTGAAGCAAGCTGGAGAGTCAGGACGTTGGTCTCGATGGCACGGTCTTCACATTCCGTCGATTATTGCTTTGCTTCGTTTCATCTCCTCACCTTTGTTTTGAAGCCAGTGGAGTGTGGGCCTTCCTTCCGTCGAAAGGGATATGCGACTTTTGATATGCCTTTCGACATCTGTAAAAAAAATTGTCCTTTGACCCTATTGTTTTTTGGGGTGTTTTTTCATCTTTTCTTTCTCTTGACTGTAGATGATAAGCATTTCAACTTGGATTTTAAAGTTGAAGAATTTATCTTGCTATTTTTCTATCTCTCTAATGACAGTTGACAAGCATTTCTAAATTGACTGAAGAATTTGTTTGTTCTGCTGTTCTCTCTCTCTCTTTCTCTCCTGTGTGTTCCCACCTCTCTCTCTTTCTCTCCTGTGTGTTCCCACCTCTCTGTATATGTGTTCTTAGTCCCATCATCTCTCTCTCTCTCTCTCTCTCTCTCTCTCTCCCTCCCTCCATCCCTCCCCTCTCTCTCTCTCTCTCTCTCTCTCTCTCTGGGTAGGAGCAGTAGCAGTCGTCATGGGATGCCATGGTAGGCCTCACTTGTCTCTTATAATATCTATCCGCCTGATGTTTTTCATTTCTCAATACTTTCTTAAAATTGCTCTTGGTGTTGATGTATGGTTTTTACAAACTCTATCTGGCACTCATTTCTTCTTTCTTTTCCATGACCAATTTTTTTTTTTTAAGTTTTGTTTTTGTATCCTTCACACCATTCCCCCGACCCCCTTTATAAAAAGAATCCCATCATATCTCTATTTTTAACTTTTTTCTTCTGTTTTTGCAATAAAAGCAAGTAGCATGCAATAGTGATTAACTGATATTGTCTTTGCATGCAATTTTTACCCTTTGTCTAGAAGTAGTGAAGGCAATAATTGACTGGTGGAGATTGTGATATAATATATGATCTATCTTTGGAAGGGGATCATCGTGTTGTTTTATTTGTTATACTTTTAAAGGTTAAAGGTTGCATATATATATGCTTGTTGAGAACAAGAACATGCTTCAAGAGTTGTATTCATCAAACATTTATGATGTTTTCATCAACCAGTGAACCATATCAGAAGGGAGATGTTGCGAATGATCGTGATACAATTCCAAGGAAGATCTTCTGCTCTCTAAAGGACAAATATGGAAGCAACTGCCTCTATTGCATTGTTCTCATATCTCTTTAATCTAGGGGCACTTTTTTGAAAAAGTCTACTCTTTTTTTTCTTTTTCTTTTTGGTGCTTTTGCTACCACCTGACCAAATAAGTTCTCAAACTTTTAAGCGACTGTTGAGTGGCTTTTTTATGATTGTGGCCAGAAATCTGGCTGATTGAGTTTGTCTTTTGACTGCATTTACACATGAATGTTCTAATATAAGGTATGGGGAGAGAGATGTTGACATCTTCTTTATAAAACAGCAGCGGGCTTGATAAACAGCTTTTACAGAAATGCTATTGTTACTAATGTAAATACTGCTATAAAATTTTTTACATTAACCGTTAACTGAAACTGAAAGCAAGGAATAAACCACTTAAATTAATAAGGGCATTTCCACAATTGTGATGCTTTAACCCATAGTACAAAATGTAATTTTTATCGTATTACACACATATAGATGTGGCCTTTGCGTCTTGACAGGCGATCTCAAAGCAGTTTGAAGGAAACAGCTTTGCCAGGGTGGTAGACATAGAGGAAGTAGATTGCCCAAGTACCACTTCCTTCCCTTCTGACTTCCTTGTTATGTTTCAGCAAAGTAGAGACATGTTCAAGACTTATTGAATCAGGGAAGGTGTAAAGGTATATTGTATGGTAATTATTACATAGCAATGAAGGAAGAGTTGTAAGTTGACTGTTTTTCATGTAGATCTGTGCTTTCTATTGATATTTTTAGCTCTAAATTCTTGGTGAGTTGCTGAAAAAAAACTCCTCGTACCACTACTCTTTTGACTCAGTCCATGCTATTGCTTCTACATTCATCGCGATAGATATAGGAGCTCATTCCACTTTCTTTGACAACTTCTCTTAGTTTTGTACATCTGTCTTGTCGGTTTGATAATTTCATTTTTGCACTGGACTGTTTTTGGCTATTATAGGATTGTGAAGTGTTTGGTTTTATTTATTTTTAAGTTTTCTTAAGGCTAGCAGGGTTGACGGTGTATCACAGCACTCTCTTCACATGTGTTTTGCACATTTGCATGTGTGTGTATCATGAGTCATTTAACTTATTAAAAAGGTTTTTAGATATATGCTACGCAAAACGCTAGAGGACTATGTTAAGTATCAAATCAAGGTTGGCGGAAGGACATGTTTTTCTCATAGACTAGTTCGTGTAAGAACGTTTAGAGGGGGCAGAGAATGCTCTCTCTCCTCTCCCTCAGCCATCAGGGCATAGCGATGCGAAACAGCATGCGTGGTTGTAGAAATCTTGTGTTGTGTAATAAATATTTCTATACTATATGTATATGGATTCTCTTAAAAACTAAAATCTGTTGGACCACCTTAGCCAGGTTTTTGGTTCAGCAAGGTTGCTCAAATAGGTTGGGGGGGTTTTAATTGGGGATTTTATGTTTTTGCTTTTGGTTCACTGCTGTTTTTAGGTGTAGGCCTACCTGTTCGTTTTAAGCAGACTCCACTATATAAGAGCAGCAGTCGGTTTATAATTGCTATCGAAGGTCAGTGAGAGCCATGACAGGGATCTGTGAGGAACAATATGTTTTCTCCTTGTCTTCTTTTTGCCCATAGGAAACATTTCTCCTGTTCTTTTTGTTTACATACCTAGTACGAGATTTTTTAAAGAATATATATTACTTTTTCCATTGTGAAATGCAAGAGCATACTGGTCTGTGGTGTGGCAGTTAGGCTCTTTGTTGTCACATGCAGGAGACCTGAGTTCGATTCCCGAGTGGGGAGACTTTTTATCGAGTATCTCTGTCTTTCTGCCTTGGTGTTGTATCCCTCTCAGTCTCTGCCCAGGTTGGCCCTGACAGGCAGTGTTGGAGCAGCCCACCTCTTAAGCTGTTTGAATTGTGTTAATGGGAAAGTAAAACATCAACAAAAACAAAAATAAAGTCTCTTCTGCTCCTTGGGTTTTCATACTGGGTATAAGTCTATTATTAATATCACTTTCCATTTTGATACACGAGGGCATGTTTGTAATGAATTTGCATTTGTCTGAAAAACTGAAGTTTCACCTTTTTAAGAATATGCTGCATGTAATAAAAGAGCACTTTTAAAAATATATTGAAATTGCACTTACCTAAAAGTATTATTGATGCAGTCTTGGTATAACAAACTTTCACTTACTAGTATGGCAAATGAACTTAATAATAACAATAAAATTACATTTACATAGTGCACATCCATGCTGTACAGCATGCTCATCAATGCGCTTTACAACTATTATTGCCCTAACAGAACCTAGAACACTCAGAAACATTCTCAGTGTCCCGGGAAGCCTACAGTGCAAGCTGGGGATTGCACATGCTCAAACACTAACAGACTGAGGAGATCTTTTGCTGTGTGTAGCCGGGTACCCATTCCCACCTGGGTGAAGTGAGGAAAATTCAGGCAAAGTTAAAGTGCCTTTCATTAAGACACCACGACAGGTCCATGATGAGATTCGAACCCATGACCTTATGGTTGCGAGTCGGAGAGCCCTACCACTAGGCCACTCAGTACTTGAAACGTCTTTTATCTTGATAGCTGCTGTCTTTAACAAACATTCCCTTAAGATTATAAAATAATCAATTACTCAGTTCCTTAGCCCCTCTTTTCTGGAAGAATCTCTTTACATCAGCCTTTCCTGATGCTGGTGTACAAGTTATGTTATTTGGCAAAGACATTTAATATACAGATGAATTTGTATTTTGTCGAGGAGTAAAATGCTCTACATGTACATCGTTTGTGTATGCAGCCTTACTCTTGGCACCAAAGGAATTTGTGTTCAGGGAGCAAAGGAACAGGTAGAGAATCGAAGTCGTTTCGTCTTCTGTAAAACAAACATACTCCCCCTTAAAGGAATTTTTATTTGTTAAGCCTGTAGAGTAGATGTGAAGATAAAATTCAAAGTTTTTCCCTGTATTCTGAATATCTCCCAGGAAACCATGTTGCTGAATTATAATTTTAGCAAGCCCAGAGGATTTTTAAGCAGCATTAGAATCGGGCCAGCTTTTCTGTGATATGTAGCATTGTAATTCGCTTTTGTTATACTAATTATAATATCCTATGAATTGTAATATTCTATGCTCTCTTAGGGTAGACAAATTGGATTGATTGACACTTGTCCTCAACAAAGGCTTGGAAGTCACAGTACAAGTACAAGGGTATAATATATAGATTTATTATAATACGTAACCAGATGTTTTGTCTGTTATTATAGAAAAGCAAATCTAGCGCTTGTCCATCTCTGCAAATAAGCTTGAAATTTGGTGATATTTCGTCAACTGAAAATGTTAGGTTCACTATTTTATCTGTTATTAATTATTATTTATAGCAATGTGCAGTGTTTTATTTCATGTCATTCTTATTCTTAACCTAATGGTTGTCATTCTCATACAGTCTTGGGTTTACAATGAAGTTTGACCTTTACAAGTCCTGCTGAAATACATTGTAAATGTTTCCTTTGAAAGTTCATGCACTTTTAAATTTACTTATCCACAGATTTTTAATTTGTTTGTTGTTGGTGGATGTTACATGATCAGTTGTTATTAAAATCGAATTGTAGAACCTGCCATTTATTATTTATGTTCTTCAACTTCAGTGACACTCTATTTGGACTTTCTTTTTCCAATTCTCACTTCTGTAAGAGGCGGCTGACGGTTCAGGGTAGAAATGAAAATGAAAATATGTGATTTTTAAAATTTGCTGTAAAGCTTTTTTTCCCCCTTTTTATTGTTAACTATTATGTCTGACTGAAGAAAGCCTTTGAGCCTTTGGTGAAGTGGCCTTCATTTCTAATTTATTAACATGCACATTGTCATAATAACAGTGATATGCCAAGGCTGTTGGACAAGATCTGTAACTGAGAGAGGACAGTTTGTAGCTAATTCTAAGTTGACTGCTGGCATGTGGGTATCAAAAAAGGGTAAAATCTAAATATAACAAACCCTCTTTCTCCCACATGTCTTTTTCCACTTTGACAATCCCAGCCCACTATTTTCTATACTTGTGAGACAGATCTGCAGCCCCACTGTGACTCCCTTAATGAGTCTACATGTCACGTCCTGGGTCAAGAAGTCTGAAATCGGGGTCTACACGTTACTTTTAATCAAGGAACATTTTGTGTGTGATGAAAAATATCTATTCTTAGCTAAGTAACGGGACTTGTTATCAGCTTTGACTTTGGCCGTTTGAGGATTATTTCAAAATTCAAGGAAGCTTTATTTTGTTTAATTAAGCTGAAAGTGAAAGTTTTAAATAAACAAAATCAGGAAAGTAGATGAGAGCTTAGCAGTAAGTTATTCCCTTCAAGATCCAAAATACAGTCTAGCATGCACAAAGGGAACAGATTTTCAGTCCTGAAATTTGTTTTTATACATGTATAGTAGGAGAAAACGGTCACATACATAAAAATACACATGAACAGCAAACTTCGTACATAACGGAAAAATTTTCTCGTCCTGCCGATTTCACCATGTGCATATTAAACCGTACATCACTCAAAGGTAAACTGATGATAGATCCATTCCTTTCCTGACTTTTATACTCGGTGATATAAAGGAGAAAGAATAAATTTAAAGCGGAGCAACTCATGCACATTTTTGTTTGTTTACTCTATTATTTAATTTGGAGGTAATGTGCCAAAAAGGGGACATGTCCATCATTTCATTTGTAATATTTAATTCCCAATCCAATTTTGAATGTCGGCATAAAATATTTATTCTTAAATGGTGGATTCAAAGCGTGCCAAAAGTGCTTAGCTTGTCATGAAATATCCCCCCCCACCCCAACCTATACCCATGTCATCGCTACACGTGTGTATGTGTATCTCTCAGATACAGAGTTTGTCCCATAGCCTTTAATTTGATATTTCCTCACTTATGTTGTCCATGAGGTAGGCCTAGGCAACTTGTAATTTGCCAGTTCCTTTTTGAAGAAACAAATGTTTCAATCTTCCGGTTTTTCTCCTCCATTCCACAAAATCAGAATCTCTCTTGAATTTGAATGAACTGCTGAAAATTCTCACCTCTACATCTTTAGAGTTGAAAGGACATTACTTCCTCTTTCATGGACCAAATTTTATGGAATAAACACCCAAATCCCAAGCCTGCTCTTCGACTTTGTTGTGTTTCAGTGAAAAGCAGTGTGTCTGGAAAAAGTTTGTGGCCGAGAAATGGCAATGCACTACATAATGTATGTATGATTAAGCCCTACGGACCAGAGAACTAGCCTGAGTGTGTTCTCTATTTACGCCGACCTTCCACTGGAAGGCACATGGCACTCAACGCATCTCACGCGTGAAAACAAAAGTGGGCACAAAGATTTCGAGTACTACCTTACATAGGACGACACCACACAGCGGTAACAAAAACAGCGCGAGTTGAAAAATCAACTTGTTCACTTTTTTTGTGAGGTGTGTGATAGTATATATGTGAACTCAAGATGGGTGACTACAAGAAGAAACTTATTGAGTTTGTGAGAGCCCGGACACTTATTTGAGACCCCAAAACTAAGATAACCATAAAAAAAGAACAAAGAAAACAAGTTTGGGAAATTACAATCCGAGGGTTACAGATGTGGAAGCACTAGTGTCTTGGGCTCCTCATAAGTTTTGTATGACCTACATAAAGTCGAAGAATAATTCTTCATCAATGAGCAGAAAGTTTGTTGAAACTCTCCTCTTTGCTCCTTATCATAAGAGAAAATATTCACAACACCGCATGGTGCGCTTTTTTCTCTTCTTTGTGTTTAGTTGGTAATGTTAGCATAATCAAAGTAACTTCGATTAGAAGAATCAATGATGACGAAAGGCAGTGTGGTGACTGCCTATGAATTGTCATGTCTCCTGTGACAGGTCATGGCCTGTCGCACATTGCGTGCCGACATGTCCCGAGCCGTGTGTCTTCCTATGGAAGGTCGGCCTTGCTGTAAACCCTGAGGCACTCTGGAGTGACTAAGACATATCTGGGAAAATGTTATGATTTTGAGATTATTTTTTTCAATATCAAAAGTGATTTTTTGTATTTTTTCAATGCATTACACAATTGAGTAATCAATCAGGGGTGTATTTACATTTTCCCAGCTAGATCTATATGCCTGTCCCCCCAGTTTACGGTACCACCATTCCCAGCCTTGCCATGTTGTGGATGGTGTGAATCAAACAGTTGATCCACAGGGACTCGGTTGCACAAGTGCAGTAATAATAAATAACATTTATTATATAGCGCCCAACCCCGATTAAAGTACACAGGCTCTGAGCGCTTTACAATACAGTACAACGTACATCAGTAGGCCTAAGATAAAATGTTGTGTTCTGTCTAAAAGAAAATCACTCCAAATATTCATCTTATTAATTTAAAAACAGAAACGACTTCAGCTGACATTTGAATGAATCTAAAAATTTGATCTCTCTTAAAGTAGGCCTACTTGGTAAAGCATTTCAGATCTTGGGGCCTTGGTATTGGTATTCAAATGCCCTTTCACCCAATGTTTTAAGTTTCATAGATGGTAAAATAAATTTCTTTTTGTCAGCTGATGACCGTAAACTGCCTCTCATTTGTTCTCGAGTTCGGAACCTGACAGTGACGGAAAATTTTCTCTTTCACCTCCTTTCCTCTTCTCTAATCATGTTCTGTTGTCTGCTTTCATCTCCACAGTCCACTTGCAGCCCTCTGGTCTCCTGAATCTACGGCTATTCCTTGGCTCTTTCTTACTGCTGTCTTTCAGCCACACCCCTGATCTTAGGGTAGGTGAGATCGAACACCCAGCCTTCTCAGACAAAGACGAAAAATTTGGCTACATTATCTCTTCTTCTTTGCGACCCCCAGCTAGATCTCAGGAATAGTCGACTGCTGCTTCATTTAGATTTACTTAGTAAGGTTTTATGACGCTCGGAACTGCATAAGGTCATACGAGTGCCAAGGAATGGATGTTAACAGAGAAGTCCAATTGGGGAATCAGGCTTACTCTGCTCACCTCTCTAGCCTCAACAGCACAAAGTCTACTTCGAATATCAAGGCACCCCGGAAACAGCAGTTCACAAAAAGAGTTAAAAATATACAAAAGAAGTAGAGGATTTTGGAAAAATGATGATAGTCAGGATGAGGAAAGAAAAAGCAGTTCAGCCTGCAGTGAGATCAATTTTTATCTAACCTCTTTTTCCTACTTACTTTTTATGGCCATATTTGATAACCTGTTCATTCACATGTTCTCCCAAGTATACTATGAAACCGAATTCTATTCATGCTTGCTTGGCAGCAGATTATGTACTCATATCCCTTTCCCTGATTTTCCTTCTCAATGCTCATCAAACTAAACAGGGTGGAAGTGTCCTCATGCGGATTAGAACATTGGTTGTGAGCAACCATGTCAAGTGTCCTTATCAAATTAAGCAACTCGTGGGATGACCAACAAGATATACAGTGGAATCCTGTTATAACGAGAGGGAGGGGACCGGTGCGAAATGTCCGTTATAGCAGGATTCTCGTTACAAGGGATCCAGTAATAAATTCAAGGGAAATAGTAAAGTAGGCCTAATCTATGAGTTTGGCGTTCTGTTTATTCCTTTTTGTATTTCCCTTGATGATTTGTTCAACATGATCTCAAGGTCTTACTTGATCAAAAATCGAATTAGGTTTCTTTCTCTAGCACTAGCAATGTTGACAAATCGGCCTTGGCGATCAGAAAGAAGGGGCTCTGGCTCTAAGCTAACTCGCCCGCAGTGTTGTCCCCCACCCCACCACACACTGTGGTGCGTTGCGTCTGCTTGCGCACGTCACACATTCACTCCATCCATCTATCACAGACTTGTGACCTCTCCATCCTGCACCAGAGAAGTGAGACGCACGGTATGCCTAGTAGAAGATAATCTAGACTGGGCTGGCCTATCACGAGATGCGTTCTGCTTGTGTCTCCAAAAGCCACACCCTCCCCACTCATTCGCTCCGGCCTTCATTGTTGGTTGGCGTGGGTTCTCCCACTCTTTGTTTCGCTGGATCACCGACAACTTTCTTAACTGGCAAGGTTTTATAATAAAGCTTAATTGGTCTGTGCGCTGCGCACAGCAGCAGCAATATTCCGTTATAAACGACTCGCGTGACGGTCTGACTGCACAATAGCAGTATTGTATTTACAAAGATAAAGAAGAAAAAAAAACCCGGGGTTTTAGAACAGTGTCTTTATAACAGACTTCTCGTTGTTTCAGGACTCGTTATAAGTGGACTCCACTGTAATAAACTCAAGGAAGAGGTACATTTTAATTTTGCTAATCCTATGCAAGTATTCTGTCTGCTTAAACTTAAACTCAAACCATTTTTCAGTCCCTCCACCACAATAAACAAAAACTTAGATACCAGCATCTCAATGCTTTTACATGTCCTTATCAAACCTACTACAACTAGATTCAAAACCAATTTGAACGTCAAAAAAAGGCCCCCATCCCCCTCCCACCCCTATGTTTACTACTGTTTAGCTGTCTTGTCTATTTCTTCCAAAAAAAAACCAATGAGCAATGCTAAGAAATGAAATAAAGCATTTCCAGCAAAATTTACCATCCGCATAGTAACAAGACCACAGAACCATTCACTTTCAAAACATAATTTTCAAAGAAAAGAAAGAGAAGTCATAAAACAAGAGGGAAATCAGCTCTGTATTCTCATGTGTGAATCAGTATATTCAAACAAAAGACGTAATTTTTATAAGCTATGAAGGCATATCAAGGTGAAGAAATCACATCATAGACACAATTTAATATACATGTACATCATCATCATCATGTTCCCACGTCATTAAAGGAGACGTCGCACCATTGATTGCCTCTTGAAGCAGCATGCTCAGTTATGTTCAGAAAGACACTATGCACAAATTCAGATCAATGCACGAGAAACAAGGGAGGAAATATCATCGAAAAGTTTAAAAAACTGCCTTCCCGAAAATCGCTATCATACTACAACCTCCTGAATAACAACAAAAAAAATCATCAGAAAATAATTGCCAGTAGTGCCTTAAGGTGCCAGTCAGCTCCACAAATGAGTTGCAAGTCTCCCTCTTGCCTACATCACAAACATGCCACAGATCCGGCTGCGTTTATTTTTAGGATAGTAACGTAAATGGTAAAAAAAAAATATACATGAACATCTCGAAAAAGGACCATGACATGGTAGGGTGACCTACACCATCAGAACCAAGGGACCAAGCTATAAAACATATAAACTAACAAGTTTGGTTGAAGGTGCGACAGATCCTTTAAGATTCCCCATTCCACAGACTATGTGACTATTTTTTTCTCTCTCTTCTTGATACTGTTTCCAGTCTCATCACACAATATTATAGGAAAAAAAAACAACAACCGCACAGATTTCGTAATACCCTCCCATCTCACAAAAAAGCACACAAATGCCCTCCGCAAAAACAAACAACATGCAAATCCGTATCAAACTCTCCACTTCTCATTCAACCATGTTAGCACAGTCATGCCAATAGCACCAACTTAGATTAGGGTACAAATACAAGTGAAAGAAAATCTCAAAGTATGAACCAACGCACAAAGAAAGAATCATGTACAGCAAACACTTCTGCTGTGTGCAAAGTTAAAATTTTTTAAAAATTGATAAAAAAATAAAGGCAACGTGAATACATCACTTCGATTGTTTTGCCATGACCCTTGCAGTCCATACGCCGACTTTTTCGAGCGACTGCTTTGTACTTTTTTACACTATTTTTTAAAAAAGAAACAAGAGAAAACAAATACTTCTTTATTCCAACCTCCCCATAACAAAACTATTAAAAACATTAAGTCATTTAAAAAATCAACAGACAACCTGAACATTAGATCTAAATTTCCAACAGCAACGAAAACTAAACTCAAAACACTGTTCTCATGGGTAACAATTACCACTGGATGACCAAAAGCAGAAAGGTTCCAGAAGATCATGCCATTACTATTATTTTCACTATCACTAATATCACGCACATTCACAAAATGCAGTACAAACACAAATTCTCAAAATGCTAATAAAATCATTGATCCAACTAGCAGTTGCCACATTACGTCTTCGGCAGAGCCAGCTTGATACAATACAGAACAAGTGAACAGGCAGCAATATCC